AAATGAGCTAAAAATACTTACTTCATTTATAAAAAATCAAATGCTCTAGACTAACTATTTGACCTTTGAAATACAGAATAGAAACATGACCAAGTTTTGGCTGAATTTCCTATTACTTGCTTATTTTCCCATTTTTGAAAGATCATCAAACTATTCTACCTTTGGGAAAAGAGAAGTTTAACCAATTAGTATTTTTAGCTCAGTATTCTAAGTTTAGTTACTGTGTTCAGTATAAAACAATCTCTTACTCCTGAGAGATAGATATAATCGATGTAACTTATATTTTGTATAAAATGTTTCAACTTAAATCAGCTAAGAAGACAATCTAATTATGTCCCAAAGCTTATTTTTAAAACAATTATTCCAGATTTAACCAATTACAAAATAATGTTCATATCCATAAAATCTCTTTAGTGTAGTTACATAGGTATATACAGATACAGAAGTGATATTGGGGATTGAACCCAACCACTGACCTATGTATTTACATCTCTCTTCATTTTCAGACAGTCTTCCTAAATTGCCTATGGAAGCAATTCCTAAATTGTTGGAGGGGACTACCAAGTCAACCTTAATTATTTTCTTAAAGCAATTTTTTCTAAAAATATATATGTATAACATATATTACAGATATATAACTCTAAAGCTAATATAATAATATGTATTAAATTTAAAGACATAAAGAGTCTGTCTTTGTGGCTTATATCAACAATACTGATGAGAGGGAAAAAGCCATTTCTTCCAACTGTTCAATATAGGGGCCTTGCCATATCCCATTTTTAAACACAGTTTTTAATAGTCATGGAATATTTCATTATTTCTAGAGTTATTAAAACACTGAGCCAATACTTACAATGATTCTGTTTCTTTCTTTTATTTTTGTACCCCAATGCTAGGGATTGAACCCAGGACCCCAACATGCTAGGTAAGGGTCTATCACTAAGTTATACACCTAGCCCTGTTAAATTTTGTATCATTTACCAAATTAAACTTTAGGACTATTTTTTTTTTTAACTGAAAAAAAAATACATAGATTTTGGGGCAATTATGAGAACTAAATAATAATCCTACACTCTGAAAAGTAACATCTAAAACAGAGGTGCTATATAGTGTACCCAGCATTATCTTGAGGTTAAACATGTTTCTGACAGATTTCTGGAATTAAGTCTTTTGTAATCTGTGTCTCAAAGAAAGGAGGTTATTATGGCATTGTTCAAATAACAAACAAGAGGCAACATTACAGTGTGCAGGGTGTGATGCTAAATCTTCCCCTTCCCTTTTTATACAAAGTTTTCAACCCACCCACCAAAAATAAAATATATATAATGCATAATGCAAAATACCTAAACAAATATGTAATTTATTCAAAATTAGGTCTTTGAAGAGAAAAGAGATAATGATGAAAAAACTGTTTAAAGGATCTTGAAATAGCCTTCCTAGATCCTGCTAACGTAACAGAGAGTTGGAGGGGGGAAAAGCCAAATTGTTTTCTGTTATTAAATTTAGGGGAAAAAAAGATCTCTAACAACTGTTTTCACATGGCTCTGAACAGTGGTACTACTTGTTATATCTGACTAAAACTGTGACATCTGAACCTTTTTACCACAGAGAGGTAAAATAAAATATCCTTAATAGTAATACTTGTGGGTTTTATCATTCATTGAAATTGTGACTGACCCTGATTGTTGAGAGTTTAGACTTTATCTTACTCCCTCTCTAAAAAGGTCTCTTTCATTTACAAAGAAGCAGTGACATGTGGGGAAGAGAGATGACAAACAAACTGAGCATTAAATGGTTTCAAAATTTTCTTCTAGGGGCTGGGAGTGTAGCTCAATGGCAGAGCACTTGCCTGGCATGTGTGAGGCACTGAGTTCTATCTATCCTCAGCACCACATATAAATAAATAAATAATAAAGGTACATAAACAACTAAAAAATATTTTTAAAAAGTTTCTTCTAATAGAAATTGCTTTTGGAACATAAAAACAAGGAATAATTGAATAATGAAACTAAAATATTAAGCACTACATGAACAAAACTTTTCCAGGCCCAGTAGTGCATGCCTATAATCCCAGGAACTCAGAAGGATCTCAAGTTCAAGGCCAGCCTGGGCAACAAATGAGATGGCCTTAAAAAAAAAAAAAAAAAGAGAATGGAAATTCCAAAACATTTTGAAGTTTGGCACGTTCTCACATTCCAAAGCATGTGAAGTATGTAACTTAAAACAAGCAAATAAACAAAAACTTTAAATAATGCCTGATATTCAAAACTTGAGTTACACCTTTAATATATTCTGCTGAGACTAGAAAGTGCTTTACAGCTTTCTGGATTATGCTGGTAAATCCCATTTAAAGCCATCTTTACTTAAAATATGACTCTTCTTTGTGAAAACTTTCCTGATATTTTTGGAACTTAGAAAGTAATACCCCATAGCATCGTGATTTGACATGCTGAGTACTTTGAAATGAAAGACACTGGAAGGGTCACAGAGGTCAAGTCTCTTTCTAACCTTCTCCTCCCCTTCTTTCTCTTATTCTCCCTTTCTCTCTAAAGAAAGGCCGTAGAAACTAGAATTCCTTTTCCTCAAGTTGAGTTGTAATTTCAGTGGATTTGGGAGGCTGCGGCAGGAGGATTCCAAGCTGAGATTAGCCTCAGCAACTCAGCGAGGCCCTAAGTAACTTAGTGAGACCTTGTCTCCACATAAAAAGTAAAAAGGGCTGGGCACGTGCTTCAGTGGTTAAGCACCCCTGAGTTCAAACTCTGGAAACACAATCAACCAATCAATCATACGATTTCTTTGACCTACCTCATCTGATAGATCATAATACCTCAATCCAGAAGGAATGCTGCACAGAGATGCCAAGCTGAATCTAAAGAGGCCTTCCTCTCTCAGACTATCACCAGTAGGAAAAACAGTTTTGTCAAGATTTCTAAAGGGCTGTCCATTTTGAACCTCAGCAAAAAACAGTTTTCCCTATATCTTTGGGTTTTCTTTTCTGAAGTCTCCTGCGTTACAAAAAACTTTGGTTAGGTAATTTATTATGCTTTTCTCTTGTCACACTCTGTTTTGTTACAGGAGTGCTGGCTTTGACATTATGATAGTTGAGCAAGGTTGCTGTACTTTTGCATCTAACATGAACCTTTTAAGGTCTTGTAGAAAATATATAGGATAAGGAAAACACATATAAATGCTTCCAAATACCACCAGATTCTGGGTATTTGAGCTATTGTAAATTTAACCCTATCTGAAATTTCATACATTTACTGACTTTTTCAAAATTGTGTCAGATAAATATGCTGACAACTAAAAAACATATTAAAAAATCAAATATTTTAATCTCTGGCATGTGCAAAGTGAATTTTTAAAACCTATCTCTCTTAGATTGTTTCCTCTGGCCTCCAAAAATCTAATGCAGTTTTACTATCTTAGAATTTTTATTATTTATAAGTCTGGCCTTTTTTTTTTTTCTTTTTTCTTTGTGGTGCTAGGGATTAAACTCTAGGCCTGTGCATGCCAAGCAAATATACCACTGACCTACACCCCCAAGGCCAAACCTTAACTTTTTAACCTTAACTTTTCTAAAACTTCACTTATTCTTAGATACTTTTTAAAAAAGTATCTAAGAATTCCTAATAATTTTAATTATATCAACTATCTTCTCTTTGACTATAAAATAAAGATCTAAAAGTATTTATTTGTCAAATTTAGGGTTTAAAATCTAAGTAGGAACAAAAGAAGAAACAATTTCAACACCCACTTTGGCTTGAAGGACTTTTTACTTGAATCCAATCCTCATTTGAGTTAATTTCTGCTCCTATATTGATTTCCACTTCACTTACTATTAATAAAAGCTTCCTTTGAGAAATACTTCAGAGAAAATGCAAAGAAAAAAATGTCTTTACTTTATGAAGTTTCGATGCTATGCTATTCTTCCAGTCAAATGTGGTAGGAGTACCCCTCATCATAAGAATGTCTATGTTCTAATTTAGTAAAGATGACTTGTTATGAGTTATTCCCTTACTTGGTCTTTTGATTAAATGGAAGCATTTATAAAATAGATCAGAAAGAAAAGGCTTCACTCTTTTACAAAGTTAACTGTTTCTATGAGGTCTGTATCTAACTTTGTCAATATGATGTTCCAACGGACAAGTTAACAGTTCCCACTTCTACAGCTGATTCTAAAACAATGCACTCATTTAGCCCAGTGCAAAAAGACCAACATAGAATATGAGGTATTTTATGGTTACTTTTGCCCATCCAAGAGAAACACAATGATCCTTTAGTTCCTAATTTCTTCAAATCTTGTGGAACATACAGAATCTCTCTGGTTTCAAGGAGATTCTTCCAATAAGTCAGAGGAATCTGTGTTAGAAAGAAAAAATGACCACAATCTTTCCATCTACATCTAATGCCTTTATAACCAGTGCTCCCTGGGGTAAATCAGAGAGAAATGCTGTCAAAAGCCAAAGAAACCTGAGACATGACCAGGCAAAGCCTTCTCTCTTCTGATAGGATATTCTTCCTTTGGAATGTCTACTAGAAAGAAATTTTCTTTTCCTCAGAGCATTATGATTCTTAGTAACATTTCAAAAACCCCAGCCTACCCAAGCAAATAATCTGTACTACCTTTTGCTATTGTTCAATTATTAATTCCTTTAAAACATTAAAAAAAGTATCTATATTAAACTACTCAAAAATTCGACATACTTTGAGGCTGACAGCATGTATAAATGAGACATAATACGTATCAAATGTGGAATAAAAAGACTTCTGTGGAATCAAAATGAATACTAGAAGGGAGGATTGGGAAGGGAGTAGATAGTACAGATTTTCTTGGAAAAGTAATGTTAAATTAAGTGTTTTGGTAGAAAGATAACTCAGAGTTATGCTCTGGCTAATCTTCAGTGAGGACAGGACCCTGGAATATAAGTTTCTCTTGTTCCTGAAGTGATACCTTTTTTTTTTTTTTTCCAAGGCTATAACATCATATAAGAGCCTACCTGACATTTTGGAGAATTTGCTGTGCTGGGATTGATATTCCGCATTGCCTAAGAGTGAAAAATAAGACGGATAAAGATTACTTTTAAGCCACATGGTTTGGCTGTGTAGGCTCTTACAAATTGTATCCAGACATATCACCATAGCACAGAATTCCCAAGCTACCCAAAGAGCAGCAGGCTGAGGAAGACAGGAGCCAATGGAGTCACCACATAACAACTGAAACTTCAGAAGTTTTTTAACAGCACTGAGGATAGGACAGCAAGACTTCAAATGTCAGGACTAAATAAAATTTGGTAACAGTCAGGTAGGTTCTTTCCTTCTAAGTATTAGATTAAGCAGGTAAAATATTTTTGATGTTTCAGTGATGAGATACTGTCAATGGAAGAAGTTTGCAGGAAGCCAGATGACTTAAGATATACTGAATTTATATTGATTGCTAAAGCAAAAACAAAAAAATTCTAAAAAATAGACTATTAGTATGAGTCAGAGCAGATTGGTCACTTCAATATAAGAAAGACAACACAGTAGGTAGCAAAGAAGAACAAAGATGTTACCTTTAAAAGAAGTGAAGCTATTCTGTCCAGGACCCATCACCCAAAGTAAGAATGAGTACAAGATTTGGAAAAATTCTTCAAAGAAAGAGTTTTATAAGTAGCAACATTTTGCCCACCAAAAACCAAAAACTAAACTGATCTATGGCACACAACAAAATAATGACTGGCTCATTTCTAGACTTTAAAAATTATGAACAGCAAAGACTTTGACATTACTAGCAACTTTTTTCTCATTAAGGTTTCTTGATTTTAATAGTTCTCATTCATGTGAAATTGACACTTGTGTTTACTTAGACCGACTAGGACTCAGGCACAACAAAATAAAAAGCAAATCATGCAAACAGCTTTTAAACTTCTTTATTTCTTCTAACAATCATGTAGTTAAATTCTCAGTGCTATCTTGTTCTGACAACACAGTTTCAAATAAGTGAGAAATATCTTTTTCTTTAATTTTCTAGAAAGTCAGTAAGAGGAACAATAAACTGTTACTATGTGTCCTCTCTCCATCTTCCTTATGGTGAAATTTCTTTTAAGACCAATTCCTGACATCATATGCTAGCACAAACTCTCTTACTCTCTCTGAGGAATCACCTTTAAGGCCAACCACACTAGAACTACATTGACAGATTACTGACAGAGCACAAACAGTTTAAAGGTAAGTCTGTCTGAGATTCCATGACTACTTAATATAATCAATTCCTTAGGTACTAGTAGTTCCTTACATCCCAAATCAGAGTTCAGGGTTCAGAGAACTTAACTTCATGTATTAGATAATACTGAAGTGGTACTTTAAAAAACTAGCCCTTTAAAAAAAAAGTATCTTTAAATATATATATCTTGGCAATAAAAATGTAGAGTATAATTGATTTTTAACCCTTTTTTATTTTGGTACCACGGACTGAACCCAGGGGGCACTCAACTACTGGGCCATGTCTCCTATCCTCTTTATTTTCCATATTGAGACAGGGTCTTGCTAAATTGCTTAGGACCTAAGTTGCTGAGGCTGGCCTCCAAACTGAGATCCTCTTGCCTCAGCCTCCTGAATCACTAAGATTACAGGCATGTGCCACTACAATTGGCTGTATAATTGATTTTTTTTTTGGTGGTGGTGGTGCTAGGGATTGAACCCAGGACCTTGTGCATACAGGACATGCACTCTACCAACTGAGTTATATCCTCAGCCCATGTATAATTGATTTTTAAAGGTCTACCCTTAGCATGTTATTTTCAAAAGGACACAGTATAGATACATGTATTTTTTGTTTGTCAACAATATCTCAGAAAAAACAAAAACCAACATATTTACTTTACCTCCAGAGGAAAGAACCAGGGAAACAGGGAAAAGGAAATTTGATTTCTAGTGTATGTTCACCTTTCATATACTTTTCCTGCTATATCATTTATTTTACAGAAAGATTTTTTATTGTTTCTTTTTAGCTATACGTAATATTAGGGTTCATTTTGACATAATTATAAAAGCGCGTGGAATATAATTTTATCTGATTCAGTTATACCATGTTTGAACTAGCTATTCAAAACATGCTCATAAAATGAATTTTAAAATCTGTATTACTTAACATCAGATCACATCTCTTTTATCTTAAATTTTCTCAAACAAGATAAAGCAAAAATTAATTTTGACATGAGGGATTATTTGTTCTTTTGCAACATAAAGACCAGTAGTACTTTTTGAAAGAAATTGGTGAAAAAGAATTTCAAGCTCTCTACTATCAGGTCCCATCTTTCTCACTATGAAAAAACACCTATAAGTACTGAGGATTGAACCCAGGCCCCTGTGCATGCTAAAAAAATGTTCTACCACTGAGCTACAAACCCAGTTCCATAAATGGGTAATTTTAAGAAATATCAAGATATTATAAATTTGGGAGTAATTGGCATTATGTTTTAAGTAAAGATTCTTAGATTTAGTAATACTGAAACACATCTGTCATTTAAATACACACAGACACACACACTAGATTTAAAGATGTTTTCCCCCAAGTGATATTCCACAGTTTCTTCATTAATAAAATCCTCAGAAACACAGTAATCCAAAATATCATGTACATTTGAGGAAGCATCCTCATTTTCTTCAATTTTTGCTCAACTGCAATAACCATGGCCAAAATATCTCTTTATGATACAGGTTATGTTATCCCATATGATCAAAGGCCATTTAAGAAAGAAAACAAAATCAGAACTGGACAGAATAATTCTCTGTTACTGATTTCACTGAAACAACATTCCCCAGTAACTAATAAATGATAAAATGAAATTTGCCCAATTTCATTCATGTAGGAAAACTCCCAAAATTGAAAGGCTGGTTTCTAACCTGTGGCCTCACCTGCCGAAGCAGTTCTTGCTGTTTCAATCGCAGTCTCTCTTTCTCCATTTGCAATTGTTGCAGCCTCATCTGTTGCTGCTGGTTGGAGTTGCCACTACCCATAACACCTCCTTGTGGGCTCTGGGGAGCCAAAGGTGGTGGTTGTTTCACTGGAGCACTCTGACTGATTCTCTGGTTCATGGCTGAAATAAAACAAAAGATTTGTTCTAAAAATTTAGTAAAGGATGACTTAGTTATTCAAAAGCAACTGGGAATATTTAATGTATTGTTTTTGTAGTATAACTAGAAATAACCTAAAAATATGTCAATAGTACAATGGTTACATAACTTGTCATTCATCATTTTTACAGGATGCAAGGCAGTAATAAGAGGAAAGAAACATGAGACAGCTCCATAAAATATAAACTGAAGAATAGTCAAGAAGCAAATTAACATCTGTCAACTCTGAAGGTGGCACACTAAGTGAGAGGGACTTTCTGTAACTTTTGATACAATGACATTAAAAGAAATCAAGGTGATAGGCCATTCTCTATCATAACCCTTGCTAAAAACTCCCAAATAACTGGTTTTTTTTTTTAAATTACTGGCCTCCCAGGCACAGATCAGACTTCTTGTGGTGACTTTCATGTGTTCTGTAGGGTAGAATAGTGGCCACATGATAAACACCACCCGCTTTTGTGCAAACACAGGAATGTTTCCCAGAGTCCAACATTAAAAAGTCTTCTTGAGGCTTGATTTGGTGGTGCATGCCTGTAATCCCAAAGACTCGGGAGACTGAGGCAGGAGAATCCTAAATTTGAGGCCAGCCGCAGCAACTTGGGTGAGAAAGTTGGGATACAGCTTAGTGGTAAAACACACCTGGGTTTGTTCCCTGGTTTCCCTCCACCCTCAACCAAAAATAAAAAATAAAAATCTTCTTGGGCTGGGGTACAAAAAAGAAAGAAGAATCCTTTTCCCTCTAGACACTGTCTCAGAATTTTCCCACTTTGTCTATTGACATTTCTCACTGAATTCTAATTTTTTTTTGTTTATACTTGTATAAGGAGGATATTGTTAGTGGGGGAAACATCCTATTTATTTACAAATCCTCATGCCTGAAAAAACTATTTCTAAACTGAGCATTTATTTACTGAGGCAGAAAGTTAAGGTAAAAAAAATTTTTATTTTATTTTTTTAGTTGTTGATAGACCTTTATTTTATTTATATGTGGTGCTGAGAATTGAACCCAGTGCCTCACACATGCCAGGCAAGTATGCTGTAGCTGAGTCCCAGCCCCAGCCCTAAGGTAAAAATTTTAAGGTAAAAAAAATCATGAGTGCACAAATTTTTTTTGCATGGGGAGTGTTCTGGAATCTTAATCCAGAAATACGCTAATACTGAGCTGCATCTCAGCCCTTTTTATTTTAAGATAGGGTCCTGCTAAGTTTCCTAGGTAGATTTGATCATATAATCCCAACTTTGGCTTCTCCTTCCTCAGTGTCGTCGTCCCCTGTCTCCCCCACCCCGTCCCACCCCCCGACCCCGACTGGGGATTGAACCCAGGAGCACTTAACCACTAAGCCATATCCCCTCCCCTTTTAATTTTTTATTTTGAGAGAGGGTACCATCAAATTACTGAGGCTAGCCTTGAACTTGTGATCCTCCTGCCTCAGTCCCCCAAGTTGCTGGAATTACAGGCATGTGGTACTATACCCAGATAATGTCTACATTTTTTAGGATGAGCTAAAATGTAGTTCCATGGTAGCCAACAAGCATTATTTTATTTTAAAAGTTATAAAATCACAGATTTTAAAATATTTTTATGATACATTTTAATCCAACAGAGTTGTCTTGACCAATGTTCAAAAAGCACCATTTTGGCCAGTGGAAGACCTTTAAATTGGATCCTTTTACTATGGTTACAGTGGGCTTGATTATCTCCCCTGCTTGGTTTTTCCAGGTTCATCTTGTATCTTTTCCCTGCCCCCAGATTTTAGTTCACTTTTTTCCTAAGAAGCCCTCGTTTCTTTTAGTAGAAAATGTTATTTAACATTAATCTGTGGAATCAGGGTACCTATTATTTTGTTGATTCTTTGGCCACTGATTCTAGGTGGTTGCTTCCTTCAGAAAATTTGTATTTCTAATTCAAATTTAGGACTCAGTTTTTACTTAAGATTATCTGCCCCCAACCCATACTGGGGACCCAACCCAGGAATGCTCTGCTACTAAGCCACATCCCTAGCTCTTTTTATTTTTTACTTTGGGACAGGAAGGGTCTCATACTAAGTTTGAGGCTGACCTTGAATTTGAGATCCTTTTGCCTGTTTCCCAAGTTGCTAGGATTACAGGTGTGTACCGTCATGTCTAGCTACGTGATCTTAAAACAATTACTTTTATCTCATGATGAAAAGCTGATTTTAACATTAATATTATACTTCCATATATATGTAATCATCTAAATAAAAATTATGAACAAATGATTACTAAGAAGTATCAGATTTCTTTGCAAATTTTATATATTATTAGGTATATACAGTGAAATCTTTGTGGTTTAAAGTTGCCTGAAAGAATTCCTCCTTATATGATTAGGCCAACAATTCAATATAAAGATTTACTTGTGAGATTTTGCTCTTGATTTTGGGAACCTGATTTCCTTATCTTCCTACCCTACCCTCCAACAGGTAACAGAAAACCATGCTACATGCTATGAATTTTTTCCTCCATTTTGCTCCCCCCCACCCATTTAATATAACCTTGACATGACTCCAAAGGAGCGGCTTTCCCCCCATTTTTTGGAAATAGCTGATTCCTATTTTATTCAATCCATTTTCTTTTAGGTTTTCACTACTACTTAAGAATGTTGTATAATAAGCTCAAACATAGACCTCTTAGTTGTTAAAAGCATAAGTAATTTTATAAGATATTGCCAAATCCGCCCATCCCAAGAAGGACTGTACTTTGTTGTTTCTTCATGTGATGAGAGGGCCTCCTTTCACCAAACTCTTGCTGAATTCTTGGATTTTTGCTATTATGAAAAGATGACAAATAGTATCTAGAGTCTGATATCATTTTAGTTATATCTTACTTAAAAAAAGTATGAACAATTTTCTTTATTTTAAAGGCTATTTGAGGGGCTGGGGATGTGGCTCAAGCGGTAGCGCGCTCGCCTGGCATGCGTGCGGCCTGGGTTCGATCCTCAGCACCACATACCAACAAAGATATTGTGTCCGCCGAGAACTAAAATAAATAAATAAATTTTAAAAAAAAGGCTATTTGAATTTTTTCACGAATCATTTTCATTAGGGCTATTGATGTTTACCTTTTCTATTTTATACAGGATAGGAAACTTTTTGTCTATGATGTTAGAAATGACTTCCCCTCTGTTTTTCATCTTTTTACTTTTTTCTACATGAGCTTTGCTTTCTTAAACAGCCAAATTTATCAATCTTTTCTGAAATTTGAGTTGTTTTCCTTACTTGCAAATGACAGAAATTCATTTTCTAATCCCAGTGGCTCAGAAGGCTGAAGCAGGAAGATTTCAAGTTCAAGGCCAGCCTCAGTAACTTAAGAGAGGTCATGAGCAACTCAGTGTGACCCTGCCTGGTGGTGGTGGGGGGATGTGGGTCAGTGGCTATGTGCCCCTGGGTTCAACCCTAGTACCAAAACAAAAACAAAAAATCCTATGTAGCTCTGCTTTATCCGACAATTTAATCCAATCAAGTGGTATTTGTCCTGGCATAAAGTACAAAAGGATTTAATTTTATCTTTTTCTATAGGACTATTCATTAGTCCCAATACTACTCATGTACAAGTATATTTTTGCCCCAATAATCTGTATCACAGTCTGTTTCCATATTTTGTTATTTTATATCTGGATATTTTTATTACTAATTTAACTACTCTTACACTAGAATCCTCAATAATCTTTATCACAGACCAAGTGTCCATATCTTGTTATTTTATTTGTAGATTTTTTAAAACTGTTAGTCTAGAACCACAGTATTACCTTTATGTTTATGTTATTTTATAAAGCATGTATGCCCATCAGTGCAACATTAATGTTTTAATCAAGCTTTGTAAGGGCAAGTCATAACTTTTTGGTGAACTTTAAATTATGGGATTCTAATTTAATTGCATTGTAGATAAATAGGAACATGTTCTGTATACTGACTCCACAGAAAGTTTGTGACTTCTTTCTGACTTGACATTTGGTCAATCCTTCTAAGTGTCTGTACTACACTAGGGCCACGTCAACTGTATGTCTGGCTTTTACCATGCAGCCTATTTTTGAATCGCCTTCCTTATTCTTATATTTAATACTCTGATAACCCCAGGAGCTGAAAGCCCTCAAAGCTGGCAGGCTCCAGGACTTTCTTCACTGCTTTGTGTAGTTTTGTTTTCTGACCTTTACAAACCTACAATCCCTGTTATGTCTTTTTGGTTATCTTATTTTAATATTTTGTCTGGAAGAACAGAGAAGGGATATTGCAATACAATGGATTGCTCAATCTTATTCAAAGCCCTTTAAACCTCTTTCATGACAAAAATAAATAATACTGACTTATGAAATGTTTACCAAAGGATAAATGATTAGAACTTTCATATTATGGCTTATAGTTTAATATTATAGGGGAATAAATAGAAAATAAGCTAACCATTTTTGGGAGCCAAGATTTGTCAGGCATCAACGATCTTGATTTCTTTATATTAATTTATCTGTCACCAACATAAATATATGATTTATAGGTACCATGGTATGATATTTTTAAATAGCCTATAAAGTCAAACAAACCTGGATCAGAGTTGGGCATATCAATTCAGTAATTCATTTAATCATCAGTTAGTTTCCTGAACTGTTTCTGGGGGTACTGAAGCCTCCTTCTGGAATTACCATGGAGACTAAGTATTATTTTGCAGATCTGGAAGAGTAGGTGCTCCATAAATGTTAGTCCCCCCCCCTTCCAGAATAGTTCTAAGCTTTAAGATTACCTCTTCTACTGATAATCATCCCATTTCTCCCTCCTCTTCCACAGAAACAAACCTCCTTTCATTTCATCACGACATTTACTGTTTCTAAGTACATCTATGACTCACAGAGACATGCATGTTTGTTTATCTTTCCTACAAGACCTAAATGGAAAAAGATGAGTGGTAGAGATTAAACTGAGGGGATCCTTCCTTCTTTTTGGTGAATCATGTTCCT